TATGTTCATCGGGTCTGAAATTAAGAGAATGCYGACTTTGACTCCCTCCCTCCTTTGCCTTAATCTACTTAATGATATTTGGGTTTAAATTTACCATCTCACTATTAATTTTATTGTTCTACGTGCTCATTTCCTTTTTTTGAAAAAAAAAGGTTGATGAACTTTTATTCATTTCTTTTAATGTGGTGCTAAGAATCGATCCCAGTGCCTTGCACATGCTAGGCAAGCAYTCTACCACTGAGCCACCACCCAGCCCCCCTCATTTCCTTTTGATTTGGCTATATTGATATTTCCTCTTCTATTAGTTTAGTAATCATACTTTTATTTTTCTTTTAGTAGCTAAAGATTTCAACATTAACTCTAATCTCCAGTGGTACCTGGACTTTGTTATCTTCTTTGCAAATAATATGACAATCTTAAAACACTTTAGCTCCAAAAATCCTGTTATGGTTAATTTTGTGCATTGACTTGAATGGTCACACTCATTTCACACTGTTCCTGAGATATTGGATTGGAGCAAAAAGTAAGTCYTGAGTGGATGGCAAAGTCCTGGTGGGCAGAGCACGCCAGGCATCACAAGGTCAAATTGACCTTTAGCTCTTTCCACAATCTCGGTTATTTCCTAAATGCTCCCCCAGTACACAATCTAATAATGCCCAGTGAATATGCTAGTCACACACAGCTTCATGACAAATGCCCCCATCTCCCCTTTCCCACATAGATTGCCACCCCTACATGGAATTCCCCTATACATTCAGAAATCTCAGGGTAGAAGTGTGAGTGGGGTGAGCATAAATTTAATATAAAGATATATTTGTTCATCTACCCTCTTCATGTTGTCTGCATCTGATTTTTTTCTGCCCATTCCACAATTACTATTAATTCTTGAACCCCATAAGATAAAAGCAATAAGAGATGGCATGTATATGGAAACAAGGAGAAGGGTGCTAGATTTTGACTAGTATAAATAAACATGGTGCCTTATTTAGTGGAGGACAGCCAGGATATAAAGAGGATTCAAAAAGCCAAGGTCAAGTCCTTTTGTATTTCAGCTCCTATTACATTCCTGGCAATACCACTTCATATGAATGTATAAAATAAGGTACTAACCAGAGAGGGAGAAGAGAGAGACTCTGGTCCTCTCTGAAAACAGGGATGGCTACAAGGCTTGCTGTTGTGGCTACTTTATTGAAAGATATACACACAGTGCCCAGAGCCTTCTGCTACCTTCTGGTCTCTTCCATTTCAAAATTATTAGCTGAATAAACAGATAATAATTTTCAATCCTGCCTATTTACACTCTAGTTGTATACAATTATTCCAGACATTTCAAATTTATTTCCAATGCCTATTGGGMAAATCTTTTGGATATAATTGAGTATTTTAATAAGACAATGGAATAATTACTACAGTATCTGACTAAAATGAATCTATCGTTCATTTTAAAGGGTTGAAATATTTTTTAAACACCTTTTTTTATATCTTTATTTTATTTTTATGTGGTGCAAAGGATCAAACACAGTGCCTTATGCATGCTAGGCGAGTATTCTACCACTGAGCCAAAACCCCAGCCCCTGAAATATTTTTATTGTATTTGGGTGCTGAGATGGATTTTTAGAATACCTCTTTATCATAGGAAAATCCAACTTTAAAAATCATTACTGAAGAACTTCACACTTTAAGAAGCACAGATCAGTCAAATTATCTTTTAAAATTCCTCTTTAATTCCAAAGAGACAAAGTTCCTGGTCATTAAATGTGTTATGTTTAACTAACATTTATCATAACCAATGTAATAATTTAGAACAAGCAAACTTGGAAGAGTTATACTTTGAAGTGCTATGTGTGCAACAGAGTATAGGCCAAAGCCCTTTTAATAATCAATATGATCATTTTTGAAATTTTTTAAAAGATAAGCAGAATGTATAGTAGAGAAAACATTTGATTAGGTGTCTCAACCCTCTATGAATATTCTGCTTCCCTAGCTAAGAAGATAAGGAAGTAAGTCACATACTTTTTAGAGACATTCATGTAGTGGCCAGAAGGTCAGATTAGATGGTCTCTAGGGATCCGTCCAGCACTGGGATTATTTATGACCAAATGACCTCTAAGGTTTCTTCTAGCTCAGAATATACACATAATTGGAAAGCTGAGGCAGGAGGATTGCAAGTTCCAGGCTAGCCTGGGCTACTTAGGAACATCTTGTCTCAAATTTTAAAAAATAAACATTAAAAAGGGATGGGAGGGCTGGGGATGTGGCTCAAGTGGTAGTGCGCTCGCCTAGCATGCATGAGGCACTGGGTTCCATTCTCAGCACCACATAAAAATAAAATAAAGATATTGTRTCCACCTAAAAACTAAAAAATAAATATTAAAAAAAAGGGATGGGATATGTAGCTCAGTGGTAGAGCACTTGCCTAGCAAGCACAGAGCCCTGAGCTCAATCCCCAGTACTGCAAAAAGAAAAAAGAAAAAAAAAAGATATATAATATATATGAGAACACATACCTACACACATATACACGTAAATAAATATATGTGTATTCTACTCAAATCTTTAAAACAGCTTTTGGATATGTCAGATATCCAAGGATATATAATGGGAACACAGTTTTTCCCATTTAAAATTGTTATACAGGTTAATAGTATATGTTTGTTTTCAAAATTCATTATGGGTGATGTCTATTTTTTATTTGAGGTCATATCTTTGGACAGGAATGCAATCCTAACTACAATGTTGTTCTGGCACATTTCACTTTATAAGGAGTACAGTGCAGTAAAAAGTAGAGCCCATCCATGAAACATTAGAAAATGCTGGTCCCAACAGAAGTATCATTTGCCAACTAAACTTTGATGTTATTCATTGATTTAGAATTACATGTTAAAATATCTAATGTGATCTTCACCACTCAAATTCAACCAAAAAAAATAATAATCCAAAAGCACATTTTTATTTGCAGTAAAGTTATAAGACAGATGGGCACTTAAACTCAATACATGAAAAACTGAGATATGATGTTAAATTACAACTGAAGTTTCCAAAAATGTATTTAAARTCCAATTACAGCATTGTAATTTCCTTAAATTACTTTATTTTAAAGTGTCAAAAACTTAAAGATGTTCTTGTGTATATACATAAGCTGTATGTCTCAATTCAGAACTTTTCCATCACTACAGAATGAAATACCCCCCTTTAGTGTAGCACTTAATTTTTATTTTTTAAAATCTACTAAGGCTGATGCAATTTCTAAAGAGCAATGACCCCACCATAAAAATATTAAAGGCTGTCTTTTCTTTTTTAAAGTGCTTATTAGCTTTATATCCCAAAGCAATGGTTTTTCCAACATATAATATTGAAAGGTGCTCACAAAGTCACTGCGTATATACTCAAATATGTCATTTTTCTAACTTTGAACATAGTAAACTGGTTTCATCTGCATTAATGAAGATTGCTTTCAATGGCCCTCAAACACATGCTTCAAATCAAGACAGCTTTATTGGTACCAGCAGTGGGAATAGTAACAGCAGAATGAACTGCAGCATAGTTTAAATAGATCACAGTAGACCACAAAAAATGGTAACAGCTTTTGGATACGTCAGATATCCCAGGATTAGCCTTCTCTTCACTCTGTGTATGTGGTAAACACTTAAAAAAAAACTATTAAAACACTCTCTTAATTCTCTATGGAGCATTTTTTTAGTGTATGAAGAGTTCAAATCCTCTTACTATTTAGCTGAACTCTGCTTATACATAGGAACCTTCATATTCTCAACATTTAAAAAAAAAAGCCTATTTTCATAAAGAAAGCAAGAAGGAATTAATAAATGAAATTTTCAATTCTACAATCCTGAGAAATAAAATCATAAACAATTCTAAAATTAAATATTTTTTAAAGGCTGATACAAATATTCCAAAACAGAATTCGTTTTCTGAGAGTGAAAAGTTACTTCATTTTAGTCATATCATTTTTACCTGATTTACACACTTTAGGACAAAAACTAAACAACATCTTAATCTAACTGCTTCCTGTGTGAGACTATCATCTGATTCATGTCTCTAATATGTACCATTCAATAGTCTTACAATGAGCATCCCCTCAGGTCTGTTTTCTCAGCCTGAAGTTTTGTATTCCTCCTTTCTCTCCCTCCAAAAATTCCTATACATCTCAAGAGAAAATTTACATTAAAAAAAAAACCTCACAATTTAAATACAATGTGATAATACTACATTTGATTTAAAGTTCTAATAAATTATAAATTGCCAAATAACTTAATGTAATTCACAATGCAAATCCCTGGTATAAAAAAAATCCATCGTGCCCTGAATATAATAAAGCAGTCCAGTGAATTCAAATTACTTATGAAATAAAAGCAAAAATTAAGATGTAAAATACTATTTATAAAAGTCAAGTAAGAAACCAGTTACCATAAATCTTCTTACAAAGATAAATGTTATGTGGTTTACCACTTTGAAAAATTGTTAGGATAAGGCTATAATTAGTGGTTTCAAAAATGATTTTAGGGAAATCAGAGTTTGAATTATGTATTATTGTCATATATGACATATTAAATATATCTGTAACAATAATACTATAATGTCAGGGGGAGGGGCATGCATAGTGGTACACACCTGTAATCTCAATTACTRGGGAAACTGAGGCAGGAAGATCTCGCCTTCAAGGCCAGCCTGGGAAACTTAATGAGATCCTGTCTCAAAATAATAAAAATAATAATAATAATACTGCAATGGAGAATAATTTAAATTAACTTCTGCACTTGCTATCTTTTGGCAAGTATATTTCTTTTTCAAAGTTTTTGCTGTGATTAATTTTAAGTGTTTGTTTTCAAAAACTTTTTTACTTGAGGTACTTATGTTCATAGGGAGATACTAGAAGTCTCAAATAGTAATAACATGCCTACAAAATAAAACAAAGATTGTTCTTGCATCTTTTGTTATAGTAACAAATATACTTTAAAATAGACAACACTGCTATGCTTAAAAATTAAAAATATCCAATTTTAAAAAGGGGTGAAAAGGAAAAAAAATGAAAATTCTTATTTAAAAATAAATCTAAAGTCCTTGCATTTCTTAAGAACCTGACAGTTCTTCTTTTCAATCAAGTTTTATCTTCCACCAAAATAAGTTTTATCATTTGTGTGATAARATGTCAGGTCTTCATCTTGTTGGTTTCAGTTTGAATTTTCTTGAATGTTTGCAGTACTGGTACTGGACTTGAGACGTTTGGCTAGATAAGACAAAAGTATTATATTTTAAATTTAATTTTTAAACATAATTATTTATTATTTTTATGTAAGAACAGTATTTATCTATTGTTTGAATCCAAATAGATTCAATCTTCTAAATATTAAATTCCATTTTTTCTACCAATTTTGAAAAACAACTTAGTTAGAAACTACATATGACATGGCTAGAAGTAGTATCAAATAAAACAAACATAATCTATACTTTCTTGAACATCACAATCTTAAATATGTAATATAGATAAAAGCAATCTACTTAGATGATAAAAGTGCTATATAGTATAATAAAAAGTCAGTGAAGCTGGGCACAGTGGCACAGGCCTGTAATCCCAGCAGCAGCTTGGGAGGCTGGCTTTGTGAATTCAAAGCCAGCCTCAGCAACAGTGAGGTGCTACGCAACTCAGTGAGACACTGTCTCTAAATAAAACACAAAATAGGACTGGGGAAGTGCTCAGTGGTCAAGTGCCCCTGAGTTCAATTCCCAGTACAGACCCCAGACACACACAAAAAAGAAAAGTCAGTGAAAACTTTTTCTGATAAAGGGTAGCTAAGAAGATTCTACAGTAATTATTATGCTCAATTATGAAAAACTGAATGATTTTCCCCTAAGATCTGGAATAAGACCAGGATATTTAGTCTTATTTAACATCATGCCACTAATTTTGTCAGTGCAATATAGTGAGAAAAAGAAAAGGAAAGGTATCCATATGGAAACAAAAAAAAATTGCTTCTGTTTTCAGAWTAAAAAAATAAATTTAGGGGTTGGGGGTGTAATTCAGTCATAAAGATTATGCTTAGTACTTTGTGTAGCATCAGTGACTTGAAAAATTGTGCTCTATATGTGTAATATGAGATGAACTGCATTCTGCCATCATGTATAACAAATAAGAATAAATAAATAATTTAATTTAAAAAGGAAAAAAAAAATTATGCTTAACATGTTCAAGGCCCTGGGTTCAACCCCCCAGTACTTCATGAAAGAAAAAAAATCAGTGAAAGAACTCTTTATAAAATACATTCAATGACTTACAAAAATAAACTGTATACCACATGCACATTCACAAACATATGCACAAACACAAATATATATAGCTTCAAAGAAAATATGTGACAATCAGTTTTGATTGTAGTGCTAATGGGATTGGGTTATTAGGCTTAACAGAAAAAAATCATCCTATTTGGCACRGTAATATGTTTTATTCTTACAGTTAAATAAGAATATTTCTCATTCGGAGCTTTAGAAATGAAAAACATCAGTGCCAGTGTGAGAGTACCTTATACCAGAAAACTAGGAATCTCCTGACTCCGATGGTTTGTAACCTAGAGGAGAGGTCTGATTTGGAAGACCTGCAATGGAACTCAGGCACCATTTTTGTTTGTTTTGTTTTCAAGCTTTGTAAATGATTTTGATAGTCAAGAATGAGAACCCTGCTATAGTTTCAATCGGGATCTCCTGATTCCCACTGTTCATGCAAAATGACAAGATGACTTCCTGGACCAGTGTGTTTGCTTAAGCCTAAACTTAAGGGCAAACTTAAATTAAAAAAAAAAAAAAAAAAAAAAAGGCCTTTAGGGAAGAAAACTAAATCAGCAGTTTGTTTTTTTGTGATCTAGCTTATTATCAATTATCAAATTACTTAATAAACTGACCAGGCAGCAATACTGGTAGGTACATATACCTACAACTTCTTGCCTCTTTAGTCTCTTCCTGATAAATCCTCATGGCCTTTAAAATTCCCCCCACACCCACCTCCAGCAATGGTGTAGAGGTAAATTTCAACCTAAAACAGAATCATACTGTGTCTCTACCTCTACTACATACTGTAATAATTGAGTCAGAGTCAGTGTATTCTTTGAGGACATGAATTATGCCTTGTTCCTTTATTCTATTTATTTTATTTAAAAAAAAAATTGGTACCAGGGATTGAACCCAGGGGTGCTTTACCACTGAGCCACATCCCCAGTCCTTTTTATTTTTTTGAGACAGGTCTAAGTTCTTAGGGCCTTGCTAAGTTGCTGAAGCTGACCTCAAACTTGGGATCCTCCTGCCTCAGCCTCCGGARTCACTGGGATTGCAGGCGTGTGCCACCGCACCCAGTTTGTTCCTTTTTAATCCCAATTCTTACCACAATGCTAGTATTTTGGCAGGGATTCAGTAACTGCTTGTTATGGTTTGGAATGTGAGGTGTCCCCCAAAAGCTCACAGGTGAGATAATACAAGAAAGTTCAGAGAAGAAATGATTGGGTTGCAAGAGCTTTAACCCAATCAATGCATTAATACTATGACAGGATTAACTGAATTATACCTGGAGTGGGGTTACTGGGATTTAGTGTGTGGCTATGGGGTATATATTTGTATCTGGTGAGTGAAGTCAGAATCTTTGCTTTCTGATTATCATGTGAGCTGCTTCCCTCCACACACTCTTTCACCATGACGTTCTGCCTCACCTTGAGCCCTGAGGAATGAAGTCTGCTGTCTATGGATTGAGACCTCAGAAACCATGAGCCCTTAAATAAACTTTTCCTCCTCTATAGTTGTTCTGGTCAGATCTTTAGTCACAATAGCAAAATAGCTGACTAAAACACACAGGCAAGATATTATAGGTTCTGTACAAACTCATCTACATATAATCATTTTTTTAAGGTAAGTGTATTAGAAGTGAAATCAGATGAAGAAGTACCAGAGGATTTAAGGGGAAAAGAACTTTTAAAGTGTAGGGTTCTAGAATACAAATAATATTTAAGAGAAAAAAGATTAGCTTTTCTTAAAAAAATTCATTTTTAAATACTAAAATTACTAAAGGCCAAGCCCATTCTTTCCCTGTGACAATAAAGGAGAAATTTGTGTGATCCAAGAGTGACTCTTTTCTAGCTAGACAGGATCTTCAAGCTAGTGCTTCTCTTACTCTGCCCTGCTGGCAGGGGAGAGGGAAAGAAATCAGTCCACACTGAGCATGTGACATATGTCAAGGAACGTCCTTGGAACAATTCTCTTTTGTTCATAAACAAATGGCATGTTAGTTATAATTTTCTTCTGGACTACTCCACTTATAAGTCCTTCTACCAGGACTCCGATGGCCTAAGAGCTATCTTTATGTCCCTACTACTACCACGGTAGAACTGCAAGGACCCTGCTGATACTCTTCTGCTACTATCAACCTTATTCTGGGGAAAATACAGCTTTCACAGTTAATCATCTGAAATACATGCATCCTCAGGTTTGTTTTTTATTATCAGCACTCCTAAAATTCTCACAAATCTCTTCCATTAGTAAGCATAATTGTAAAAGGTAAAGCAGAAAGCCATTTTAGACTGACATACTTTTGAGTTCTCAGAATATATATCATTTCTAAAACAGGCATAAACTTTTAAATACAGGATATTATCTAAACAAATGAATAATTGTTAAAAAAAAAAAAAAACTTACGCAGAATGAGTTTTCGTTTCTTTTGCTCCGAGTGAAGAAAGCTACTAAGGTAGAAAACAACAGGTAGAAAGAGGATGAACACAGAAACAGCAATAACAGGCACTGTGTCACTGCAAGAGACTGAGCAGTTGAAAGTTCGACTCCAAAGTTTTCGAGTAATATTCATCTGAAACAACAAATAACATTATTCTATTTTATATTTAACCTGTCTTCAAGTTCTTATAATTATTTTGTTAATAACTACTCATTGTATAAAATTTACATTAATACAAGCCAGGCATAGTAGTGCACACATGTAATCCCAGCAACTCAGGAGGCTGAGGCAAAAGAACCACAAATTTGAGGCCAGCCACTGCAACTAGTAGGGTCCTATTCTCAAAATAAAAAATAAAAAGGGATGGGGGCTTGGGATTGTGGCTCAGCGGTAGAGCACTCGCCTAGCATGCACAAGGCCCTGGGTTCAATCCTCAGTACCACATAAAAATAAATAGGTAAAATAAAGGAATTGTGTCCAATTTACAACTAAAAAATAAATATWAAAAAATAATTAAAAAATAAGAGGGCTGGGGACAGATGTAGTTCAGTGGTAAGCATCCCTGGATTCAATTTCTAGTACCATAAAAAATTTTTAGGGTACTATAAATAAAAAAATAAAATTTACATTAATACAACAATATCAGATTCCAAATTCATAATACTGACCAAAGTATAACAATATCAATCACTCATAGCTTTCAAACAGAGCACTTATATTAATAGGAATGTAGTTAAACCCTGTTTCCATCCTTAAAAAATTTCATTATTTACTGAGAGCCTACTTCAAACCAAGTAGTATTCTAGGCAATAGGAATAGGACAGTAAAAACAAAAGTCCTCATGAAGTAGTGATTTTAAGTGCTTTTTAAACCATCCTGAATATTACTAGTTCACTACAGTTTCTTCTGAGTTGCTGTGATAATTCACACTCATTATTCGCACCCATTAAGCTTATCAATTTTAATTTCAAGTAAGTTCTCCACTCTGAGCCAGTAATTTCTTTCCTCCAGTGCCTTCTCAGGCATCATATTGCCTAAAAAGCCATGATCGCCATCTAGTGGTGACCTATGTAAAGGCTGACTATATAATGGAAAGAAAAGATTTGTTGCTGACCATTCAATTAATACACTATTTACTAAGAGCCCACTCTATGCCAGGCATTATCTGAACAATGAACAAAAAAGACAAGGTTCTTGTCCTCATGTGGTTTATATTTTAGTGAGAGGAGACAACTATAAACGAAAATAAGTATTTTCAGATTGTAAGAGTTGTAAAGAAATAAATGGGATAGGAAGTAACTGAGGAATGGCTTCTCAAACACATTATAGTAAAATCTAGAAACTTTAATAAACAATGAGTACACGGTATAATTGAAAATAAACATACAATAATGCCCACACCTCTGAAAATAGCACACATTTCAAATTTTTTTWWAAAAAGTAATAAATTGTCAATTCACTTGTGAAGTGCCTAATCAATTTCCATTTGGTTTGACAGACCAGGACATTCTACTTTATAACTACCACACAGTTATTTCTGGTTGAAGACAGCACATGCAGATTCCAATGTGGCTCCAAAAGAGATAATACTACTAATGGTATATTTAACAACCCTGCAAAATATGCATCATATCAGAAGCAAGTACTTACTGCATCTTCCACATCGATGCATAAATGTGTTTCAGGAAGTTCAGCCTTATTATCAAGCTCATTCATTTTTTGCATTTCACTGTACAGACTGCTCAGAGTTTTGTATGCTTCACGACAGTTTTTACACACTTCTGAGTAATTTCTTCGTGGTAGAAGACCGCGTGCATTCTCCTGAAGTCACAAAGGCAGATGTAATACATTCAGTAAACATCATAAATAATATCTCTGTTAACTATCTAATCTTCCAGAAGACAGCAGACAAATCTGGTGTGTTCAAGTGCTGAGCTGTGAGGTTGAGGGCATTACTAAATCACCTGTATTATAGATCCCACGGATTAGAGACCCGGTATATGAAGCACATGGCAAAATATTTGGCACTTTCTAAATGCCCTAAATGTTGAAAACCACGGCACCAGCCAATGTCAAATGTAGACAACACTAACTCATATGCCAAGTAACTTATAACTAAATGCCAAAGTTCTCCAATTATCTCATCAATAATATCTGCACATATCCATCCCATTGCTGACTAAATAAAATATGTCCCTGCCTGTGCTGTCTTCACCAAAGTTTGCCTGAGACAGGACTTCCATAATGGGAAAGGAAAAGGCACTACAACTAGATCCCCACTCAATTCAATTATCAGAAAACTCTTAATCTGGGCCTTTCTAGTCAGAGAGAGAGAGAGAGAGAGAGACTCTCCAAAAGAACTAGATAGCCTGAATAAGGGATGGAGACATAACTTATGTTAGAACATCTGTTTTTTATACTTCTAGATTCACACATGTCCTTTCAAGAACAAGTTTACATATTGCTTTCTTTCTTTTTTTTTTTTGGTGTGGGGGTGGTTACCAGAGATTGAACTCAGGGGCACTCGACCACTGAGCCACATCCCCAATCCTATTTTGTGTTTTATTTAGAGACAAGGTCTCACTGAGTCGCTTAGTCTTACCATTGCTGAGGCTGGCTTTGAACTCACAATTCTCCCGTCACAGCCTCCTGAGCCACTGGGATTACAGGCATGCACCACCATGCCCAGCTACACATTGCTTTCTATTCCCTTCATTTTTTGCCATACTATATGAAGAAAGAACATTAACTGAACATGGGAATTAAAGAAAAAAGGACAAATCAAAAAATTAAACTAATGTAGCCTTTATAATGTTACCCTCACCATTTATTTGACAGAAAAATAGCCTCCCCTTAGTCTGCCATAAGAAAAAGCCCATCACCTAATTTTCACAGAAAAATTTAGCTGAACCCAAAATCAAACATTGAGCACAGAATCTTGAAGGGGGATAATTTAGCCACTTTTATTAAAACTCAAAATGCACATGTCTTTTTAATACAATTCCACTTCTCTGAGTCAACCAAACAAGTCTTCACAAGTATGCCAAGTTATATGAAAAAAGGTTCTCTGTGGCAGTGGTTTTTAACAGTGAAGTACTGACATATGGCATGACAGCTTCATTCTGCCTGTGGGGATAACCAGCACTTTGCAGACAGCTCCTCTCCACAGTCACCAGGACAGGCCAGATTTCCACAGAAGCTACCTGCAGGCACCTACTGCCCAAGCTGGACCTTACCTGGCACTTAAACCCACCTCCCTGCTATTCACCTGAACTGAAAGCCACTGCCACAGCCAAGATCACCAAAATTTCACTGCTACTGCATTATCTGTTTTGCTGTCTCCTACTGACTCCTCTCCTGAGCTTTCCCCCTACACACAAACCCTAAAAAACACTGGAGTGTCCCAGGATGCAGTATTGGGGGCCCCTTTCCATCTCTCTACATTCACTCTCATCCAGATGGTGACTATAAGCACCATCTGGACCTGGGGTCTCCCAAACCCCTATCTCCAGCTCACAATTCTTCCCCGAGCTCCAATCTCATTTATAACCAATCCCATGTGTCATCTCACCTCAGGTGTCTAATGGAGACATCCTACTTAACACGTTCAAAACAGAATTCTTAATCCCACTCCCCTACAAACTCGCTYCTCCTTCTCCATGCTATCATCCTCTCAGCCACTCAGGACCAAAGCCTAGAATTACATCCAGATGCTTTGCTTTCCTTCACTAGCAACCCAAACCACTCCACCAGCAAATCCTGCACACAGACTTCTAAAATATGCTCTGAATTCATCTACTTTTTTTCAATGCTGCCAACAACACCCTCTCCTGTGCAGCCTCCTATCAGTTTGTACCTCCACACCTCCACTTTGGCCTGCTTTCACCTGAGCTCCTCTATGGAGCAGCCAAAGTGCCTTGCAGCATCTAATGACATCCTATGGAATTCTTGCTTGAAGTGGCCTCCCCTGTGCTTAGAATTTGTAGTAATAGATATAATATTCTAACTTACTAGAAACCTGGTTTTAAGGCTTCAGATTATTTGAATTATAGAATTCTACCTTGATCTGGGGAAGAAGTAGCTATTGTCTAATCTTGAAAACTGAGAGAGAACTACAGATTCAGACCTATTTCTTAAAAATCTTWAGATAAAAGATGCTTAAATATAGAAAGTGAAACCATAAAAGTACTAAAACAAAATTTTAAAGTATCTCAATGTGGGGCAAAAAGCCTTCCTAATGTAATGAAAATACCATAAGTCATTATAAAATTGGTAAATCCAACAAAATTAAATTTTTCTTCATGRTAAAAGAAAGCACAATGGAAAGACAACAAACTAGGAAAATAGCATTTGCGACTAACATCACAGAAAAAGGGTTAATATCCTACAAATATATTCATTAGAACACTGGTCTCTTAAACCAAAGAGTTCCCTGGTCAAATAGATTTGGTAAATGTGGTCAACATAAATGTCCATCTAAACGAGTCCACTAAATTTTATAAAATACATGAGGTCCACTAAAAGTCCTTAAGTACTGTAGTGAAGCATTTCCCAACCTTGGTAGAATATTAAACCCTCTTTTGACAGGTCACTTTATTAATGTCCTATAGAACACATTTTGGAAAATAGGAAATCTTTTTTGTTTTTCTCAGAGAAATTTATAACTCTATATAATAACATTTATTAAACAGGAAATCATACATACTCATACTCGACACATGTTTATACCTACTTGTGGGGATTACTTATTTATTGTGCAAATAAATACAAAACTACAGTTTTTACCAAGGTTCCAATTTCATACTTCACTACCACCAGGCAAGTTCCAATACCAAAGTTCAAGGGTCAGAGATRGAGACAACAAAAACGTATAAGTTAGAATTCTTAAAGGCTACCTTTTGTATCATAATTTATTATTCAAGATTACCTTACTAAATAATGCCTTTTAAGGGTATAATATTGAGTTAAGCAAATATTGAGGCAAAAAAAAAAGCTTCCTGTAGACAGAATCATACTGCACAGTGAAATACCCATTATTGTATAAATAAAGTCAAGGTAAATTACTGTCGGATTAAACAACATTGTGTTTTAATTAAACACCTGTATGCCTCAGTTAGTGTTTTCACACTCACTACCTCACCAAATCTTCACTACAAAAACACTTGAAGGCAGGCAGATCAGCTATGAGAGAACTGCAGTCTTAATATCTGCAAGCAGAAGAACTGAAGAGCACAAATTCAGACCTACTAATTCCTCTGATACAGATAAATACCAACAATGTCATAAAAACTTGGAGTTAGACATTATTCATTTGTACAAGACAGCATTTTAATCTCAAATATATATAAAGTACCTGAAGGTTATGCTCAAAGCAGGTCAAGGTGAGGTTAAATAGATTGAGGAAATATATTGTGCTGTTTGATAATTCTTCACCGTTGTCTGTTAAACAATCTGTCAAAAAAAGTATATTACTACATCACAAGCAACAATTTCATGTTGTCAGTTAGCTTTCAAGTTATCATCTTTTGTTTGCACTATAATAATCCTTTATTTCAGCAAGCATGAAGTATTCCACATAAGAGAATTTTCCAAATGCATCAAGTTCACCCTTATTAGTTTCCAAAAACATTTTTAAATCCGCCATTTTCATGAAAATCTTAAAATAATTACATACCTTCCTCCTTTTATATAAACAATATATCATACCAAATGAAATTTAAATTGACCTTTAATGGTAAAAAGGTCATAATCATGAAAATCAGGTCTCTTAATAGTGCTAGTTAGGCATAACACTGTTTATGCTACATTAATTTTGCCTCAATTCTTCTCCCTTTTTATCTTTGTGTCAAATTTAGTAGTTCTGTGTCTCTTCCAACTTCACTAACAGGGTCATTTATTGTACCTAATAGGGTAGCCTTTTTAATTTGCTCATTCTATCATGAGTTGGGAGTCCAGAGAAACAAATGGGTGCAAATTTTAACCAAATACTGACAAAAAGTATTAAGTAAAGTTTGGAAATAAACAGAATTGTCTTACATGTTTTTATAAATCTTACATAAATTGTATTCCTCTGCAACTTCTACTCTTGCTTAGCATTAGCTCAAGTTAATTCATTCCTTTGCTTTTTTTATGAAAAAATATATTCATAAAAATAAATATATTGCAATTTAATTCTCCATTCTCCCCTCTTTAGTGAATCTACTCTTCATCTTCCCTTTGTCTTTTTCTCTCCCTGAGTTCTCAGCCTATCATCTCCAAGTCAGGCTCAACAGCAGGGCTTCAGATCCCACTCTGGTGGTTGCAGTTTAACTAATCTCCTCAAATCATTGTCTTCCACATACCCACAAACATTTCCATCTGCTTTCTCTATTCCTGATTCTGGTTCTAGAACACAATTACATAAAATTCTAAAATTATACTAAAAGAACCCRAATCAAATTCATGTGACCTATGAAGTCACATCATCATAGATGCCCTATTAATTGCTCTACAGGGATGTTCCACAGGAATGTTCCAAATATTTTCTATTCCCTAGTCCCCAGTCCAATTCCTGCCCCCTTAATTTCAACAGACAGCTTTATATGGCATCCACCTGACTCAGAAAGTTAACGCTAACTAAGAGTATCTTTTCAGCCATGCGTGGTAGTACATGCCTSTTATCCTAGCTACTCGAGCCAAGGCAGAAGAAATGAAGTCCGAGGCCAGCCTGGGCAATTTAGCAAGACGCTGTTTCAAAATAAAACAGAAGGGCTGGGGATGTAACTCAGTGGAAGAGCACTTGCCTAGCTGCACAAGGCCCTGGGTTCAATACCTAATACCACCACCAAAATAAATAAATAAAAATCTTTCAACCAGGAGTGGAGAGATGCCATAGAAAACTACTGCAACGTTCCAAATGGAATTCTTTGGTAGACAAGAGCTGAACAGGTAGACACTGGGACAAAACACTAAAGGATGTCTCATGCACTATGAAAAACAACAATCACAACAATGAAAGCTGGCATGTGCTGAGTAATTGTTATGTTCCAAGCACTATGCTTATATTTGAAACACATTTACTTACTCAATTCTTGCAATGATTCTTTCAGGCAAGAATAAGAAGCTTAGAGAAATTAAGAAGGTTGCCCAAGGACATGAAACTGATTAGCAAAAAGCCAGAATGTGTACTCAGTCTGATTCTTGAGCTTGTACTCCCAAACACAGCAAAATAAACAACACATTCACAGCTACATTCTTGACAATTAAAAAGTTCAAGACTCAGAGTAGACAAACATATGCCATGGCTCCTCCGTCCAGCACACAGACATCTTACACCATGCAGGGATTCAGGCAGTCTCTACCAACTCAACAGAGTTGGCAACCAAAATGAAACCCGAACCGGGTGAACTGGGCAGCAGCAACCAGCACTTTAAGACTCCTTTGGGCAAATTAGAAAAAGGCTCCTCCTCTAGGTGGATGAATTATGAAAGGGCACTCTTGCCTCAGAAGCCAACTAGAATTCACCCCATTCACTCCCTCATACACACGGCCTGTGCAGGGCCCCCTCTGAACCCAGTGAACATGGGGCCCTCTTAGTAAACCAAGTCCTAGATTCTTCTCTCTCTGAACTCGTATACCCTACATTCTCTGCAGCTTTGTTTTCCCAAGAACATGAGTTCCATACTAACTGTTCACCAGATCATTTAAAAATCTGAGGGTTCATTTTACAAACTGAAACTAAGAAACTAAGCCAGAGAAATCAGGTGGTATATTGAGGCCCATATACTGAGTTCATAAGGCACAGAAATACCAAATATACTTTCCAGACTCCTATATTCTCTTAATTGTACCATTTTTTTTACTATTTAAATATATTATTCAATTGTCAGTTTTCACAAAATTCAAATAATAAATTATTTAAAATGTGTGTGTGGCCAGGTGCGGTGGCACATGCCTATAATCCCAGTGGCTCAGGGGACTGAGACAGGAGAATGTTGGGTTTAAAGCCAGCCTCAGCAACAGTGAGGAGCTAAGCAACTCAGGGAGACCCTGCCTCTAAATAAAATACAAAATAGGGCTGGGGATGTGGCTCAGTGGTTGAGTGTCCCTGAATTCAGTCCCCAGTACCTCCCCCCMAAAAAAGAAAATGTGTGTTTGTGTGTGTGTGTGTTTGTGTATGTGTGTAAATGCCCCATGAAGTACTCTTGAATTCTCTTAGGGATGAGGCAGAGTATGTATGTATGTGTATGTGTGTGTGTGTGTGTGTGTGTGTGTGTGTGTATAAACACAATTACATAGACACAGAATATTAGTATTTTAAGTTAATAAGACTGAACAACACATTTTGTGTTTGATGCCTTGCAAGGAAGTTGAGGGAGCACAATTTCATCCACAGCAACAGGACATCTGTGTTATGATGAGCCATGTCATGACAACTAATGTATACAACATAAGAAGGAAAGCAGCATGTGTCCCAGCACTACCTGCAATAGTATAAAGCCTTTTACTATGAGAGACCATAGCAATTTCTTCTGCACATGATACATAATTAAAATAATTTCTTTATTTAAAAAGGAATTTATAAACAAAGCTTCTCTGAAGAACGAAAAGACATAATCTCTTGTATTTTACTAACAGCCATTTACATTTCACTGAAGATAATCTGCAAGTTAAACTAAAAGCTAATACATTCTTGTCATCTGGTTAAGCACTGTACTCAACCATCAAAACTTTTTCAATTAACTGTTAGCAGAATCATAAGGCACAAAGGAGTTCATTATTTAATAGGGTTAAAAATGTCTTCATTATTAAAAAGCCCTGACTTTCTGCTTCAAAACAAAGGAACTTCAGTAAATTCCTCTTTTATCCTTTTCCTGAAACTGGGGCATAAGGTTATAAACAGTGAGAAGCTATGTATTTTAGAAATTAGTAAGTTAAAGAATATTAGCAATTATAAAGCTTCCTATAAGCACTAAGTGAAGTGGTCATTATGAATTTCCCTCTCTCAGATAATCAATGGAGCCTCATCAAGGACACATTAGCATAGCTTCTGTCTCAGTGAGGGCTCAGGCTTCAGCTTAAGAGGCAATCTTAAAGGTGCTAAGGATCCAAGTGAAGACCTTTCACAGAAGCCCAAAAAATCATCATAATGGGAATTATGCATCTTTAAATAAAGTATTTGGCATCTATTACAAGTTGTATAAAGAACTCTGCTGTTTTCAAAATCAGTTTTATAGAAAACAATAATCACTAACAGGGCAAGCTTCAGAATATCTAAAGTAAACTGTGGAAACTTTTAATTAAACTTAATAAGAAAACGTAGACATTTTAAAGATACAAATAAATAAACTCTGATGGTTAGTAGTCCATTTCCACTAGGTAAAATATGGGAAAGAGCTCTCATTAACTGACCTTCTGGTTAACCAGTAAGTTTCACTGTTGACTTTTCAAACATCAGTGCATAAGCYATATGTACTAATTTCAGGTTAATCTTCCTGTTATGAATCAGAATGTATATCAGGATTACATAGTGGTTCAATAGCATTGTTGTAATCATAAATTATCATTCATATCACTGTAGATATAGGCTGCTCACAAAGAAAAAGTGTTTTTACCACGTAAGAGCAAACATCTGAAATAGTAAATTTGGAGGCCCTTCTTAATACAATAATAGTTCATGATATATACTACTTGCCAAAAAAAAAAAAAAAAAAACACTTGACAATAAAACAGTCCATAGTCTCATCAAATCTGGTCACTCTGCTAATTATTCAACTTGGTATATACAAGATAACCAGGTAAGGTCTCAATAACAAGGCTATATATTCCTATGTCAACAATATATTACTGCTAACAGCTTTATAATTCTGTACAGGAAAAATCATTTATATAGTTTCTTTACCCCTTAGCAGTCATTCTCCACAAGGAAAAGCTAATATCCATGTTATTTATACTGTGGTAGAAAGAGCTGGACTCTTTTTTWAAAAAATCTATTTATGTATTCTAATTTGTTCTACATGACAGCAAAATGCATTTCAATTCATAGTACACATATAGAGCACAATTTTTCACATCCCTGGTTGTACACAAAGTAGAGCCACACCATTCGTATCTTCATACATGTACTTAGGGTAATGATATTCATCTCATTCCACCATTTTTCTACCTCCCATCCCCCCTTTCCCCTCCCTTCCCTTTGCCCCATCTAAAGTTCCTCCATTCCTCCCATCCCCATTATGGATCAACATCCACATATCAGAGAAAACATTTGGCCTTTGGTTTTTGGGGATTGGCTTACTTCACTTACCATAATATTCTCCAACTCTATCCATTTACCTGCAAATGCGATTATTTTATTCTCTTTCAATGCTGAGTAATATTCCATTGTGTATATACACCACAGGTGAAGAGCTGGACTCTTAATGTTTCTTTTGATGTTCCATCAATTTCTAATAATTCATTTCCTATCAAGA